TGACGAGTATCTATACGTCGGTGTCAAGCATGCCTGTGAGTCTTGTATTGTAATTGTGATGACTACCTTGTGGTTTATTACACTTCACATGTTATTATCATTATTGTTCCCTTGCCGGAATATTATTATCATTATTGTTCCCTTGTCGGTATGTTATTGTCATATTATTGTTCCCTTGCCGGGATGTTTGTTTGATATTATTGATCCCTTGCCGGAACCCTTCTTTTTGATTGGTGTTGACAAAAGAAATGGGAGCGGGTTGCACGCCTGCAAAGGTAACATGTGAAATCGGAGCGGGTTGCACGCCTGCAACGGTAATATATGAAATGGGATCGGGTTGCACTCCTGCAACGGTATTACGTGTGTGCCTGTTTTCTCTATTTCATTATTTTTGTTGGTAATTGATTTATGGCATTCCTTATCTCTCTCTACTGTCGTTCTGTTGTTACTTGTTACTCCCCGAAGCATGTTTCCCCTGCCCAATTTTAATTGTAACTATCTGCTTCTATTTTTGTTGTATACGATTTAACTGCACAAGTTTATTTGGTAGTCTGGTCCTAGCCTCGTCACTACTTCGCCGAGGTTAGGCTAGGCCTTACCAGCACATGGGGTCGGTTGTGCTGATACTACACTCTGCACTCTTTTGTGCAGATCCCTGTGCTAGACTTCGGACCGCAGTGAGATTGTTGTTTCTTGTTCACCAGGCGACCCGAGGTAGTCCTGCAGGCGTCCGCAGGACTTGGCGTCTCCTTCTATCTACTATTCATGTATTTCCAGAGATAATGTTGTATTTAATTCATTTAGGCCTTTATTTGTAGCACTCCTAGACAGTATGTGAAGCTGTGACAACAGTTCTGGGTAGTCGTTCAAACAGTTGTTTTTGATGTATATTCAGATAGTTTTATTGATTTTCTTCCGTTTGTTATAAATTCCACTACCTACACATTTTTGCTTCATAATTGTTAAAGGACTAAAAATGGAAATAAAGTAAATAGTTCAGTCGGTTGGCTTGCCTAACTTTCACTAGTAGGCGCCATCACGACTCACGAAGGTGGGAAATTCAGATCGTGACATTTTGATATGCGATTCTCTTCGAAATCCTGCTTGAATATGGGGTACTTTGTTCACCGATCTGCCTTTTTGATTTTATTGCAGGAAACAACATTGCGTAAATGAAAAATGTGGATAATGATGTTTGTATTACCTCAGTGCATATGTAATGCTATGTCTCTATCCAAATAGGAAGTTGGAAGATTTGAATTAGAACAAATCTGTTGATGACGCAAAGCTCAGACAGCATAGGATTCAAATGTGGTAGACCAAAATTTTATATTAAAAAGAGATACCAACTACTATGTTTTAAAGAAAAGCATGACCAAATGCAAAGCATGATAATTCATTTATAATAGCAATCATTAACTATAGATTCTCCTTATAAAAAGCATAATTATTTTAAACAACAACAACAGTAATAATAATAAATGTAGACGAACTAAGAACACTATTTAATTTATTTAATTAGAAGAATATGAAACTAACACAAGGTTTGCTTCTCTAAGAAATATCCTTCACGATTTTTCTTATTTGTCATTCAATGTTCGGTATTCGCATTGAAATCCTGATTAATTTGGATTCATATCGTATAGTGCCCGTTAAAGAGAAAAATGCTTCTTATCACGATTTTTTTAATTCTCACAATTCGCGTTGAAATCCCGATTAATTTGGCTAAGCTTTTGAAAAATTAAAAAAACACCTATTTTGGTGAGTTAAAGTGCCTAACCAAGTTCCAAAGAAAAGGAGGGATTATAAATAGTAGTAGAATTAACATTGCTTAATATGGTTTGCCCGTTTTTATGAAATGAATATTTATATGTCATTTTTCATACTTAGACGCTCGAAAACACCTTGCGAAGAGATTGCCCAAATACTATTTTTCTAATACTAAGAAATACGCTTCTCAAATGACAAACGTTTTTATTTGTTTATAATTATTTGGTATTCGAAACTTACTGGCCTGATTAATTTGAATTCGCGTCATGTAAGGCTCATAAAGGAGGAAACGCTCCCTGATTCTTAGGATCCGAACCCCAAACCTCCACAAGGATAGAAGAATTCTATCAATCCGAATACACTCTTTGGTGGTGACCGATCAAACGCACAAAATTACCCTCCCAAATATGTAGTCTAAAATTTCATTCCATTAAAAAGAAGCCACTTCTAAATAACAAATGACAAATATTGACAGTTTGGCTTAACGGGCCTAAGTCAGTGAACCAGGTGCCGTAAAATTAGCACGGGTATAGCTAGTTTTTTGACTGGTCATTCAAAAATATCCAGCGTTTATTAAGTCAATGAAAAATAGCCACTATTTTGCTGTAACAGAGACCGGTCCAACATAATATACTGGAGTTCGATGCACATGTGTATGAACTTCCAGCATATTATGCTGGACCGGTATATTTTGCTGGCTCCAGTATAATATACTGGAGACTGGAGCACCGGTGCTCCAAACTCCAGTATATTATACTGGACTGGTATATTATACTGGAGTATTTTTTCGGATTTTGAACAATATTTTCGTTCAGATTTATCTTTACGTGAAAAATGGCTAAATTTCGATTACTTCGATTACTATTTTCTTATAAATGCAATCATCATTTAAAGCGTTTTACTATCCATTTACAAATGACATAATTTTTTTAATTTTGACATGAGGTACACGCGCAACATGCCTGTCCGAGGACTAGTAAAAGATAAATAAGTAAAAGAACTTATTGGAGATAGCTCGATAACGAATACACCACACACACTTTTTATATTTCTGGTCTTGTTCGATTCACGTGAATTTTCTATTTTGACCACCAAATGGCTTTAACTCTTAAGTCTTAACCATTTGGTTATGGTTGAAAAATCGACATCGACCTATATTCGATACGTTGAAGTTTCAATGTTGTTCTCCTGGAGAGTTTATTTTGTCCTCACATTTGCTTTAACTCTTTCACTTGTTTCTTCTATTGTAATTTCCCTAGTTCTAGCTTTTCAAACAGTCTGTACTACTCAAAAATCAAAATGCAACATATAATATTAGATCAATTCCAGAAAATAAGTACATAAATTACCTAGTTTGATAGAGATAATCACGAGTTCACATGCACCATAAATTGGACAGTAAATCCGCCCTCATCAAGAACATATCTAAGTAGCGCAAAGCGATGAGCGTAGGCTTATGGCTCGAAAAACAAAAAGCTACAAAGTGTATTTATACTCCCCAAGCAGCCTTGTAGCACCAGGTTCATCTAAACTTAGCGGGAGAAATTCAAAAATAGCCTGATTTATAAGTGGTCATTCAAAAATAACCACAGTTTCAAAAGTAATCGAAATTTAACCATTTTTCATGTAAAGATAAATCTGAACAAAAACACTGTTCAAAATCCGGAAAAACACTCCAACATAATATACTGGAGTTCCAGTATAATATACAGGTCCAGCATAATATACTGGAGTTTGGAGCACCAGTGCTCCAGTATATTATATTGGAGCCAGCAAAGTATATCGGTTCAGTATAATATGCCGGAAGTTCATACACAGGTGCACCGAACTCCAGTATATTATGCTGGACCAGTCTCTGTTGCAGCAAAATAGTGGCTATTTTTCAATGACTTGGCAAACGCTGACTATTTTTGAATGACAAGTCCGAAAACTGACTAGACCGTGCTATTTTAACAAACTTAGCAGTATCTTAAATTACAACAAATAATAGGTCTGTGCCAGGTCCAATGCTAAAAGCCATGTTTTGAACACAGAATAGATCTTAAATCCACCTGTGTATGTTCCTTTCCAGAAAATCTACAAAATTACTTATAGTATCTGATCGTTGTGACTCACAACTTGTGAGTTTGTCAAGCCAGCCTTCTAATATCCATTCGTGCATGCAGCCCATACTTGATTCATACTAGATCTCACTAAAGGATACAGCTTAAGGGCTTTCTAATTCTAAGGTCAACATGTTTCACATTTGTCCTAACCAAAAAACAAAAAACAAAAAACAGTTAATAACAGAAAATAAAAACTCTAAAGAGTGTTCTATATAAAGAATAGCAGTTCTTTATATAGTGCTACAGAAGTTTTTAGTAATATTAAAGATCAAGATCTACAGTCCTACACTTACCATCTTTAGCTACAATAAAACAATGTAGTTACCAACATAGCCAAATATGCAGATCAAGATCTTACATTTCAAGCAGGTAAGATTTCAAACAAAATAGCCAACACCCCAAAATAAGGCATTAAACGAAATAGGGTAATCTGCCTCTTGATTTCCTTTTTTATAACCAAAGCACAGAATGTACAGCATGAGGAAAGGTAGCTCAAAACAGAATTGCTTTCCAGCCAAAGTAGAGCAAATTCTGAACTCTTCGCAGTTATTCCCTTCACTGTGCCGAGGCACCTCTCCAACCACGAACCATCGAAATATATGCCACTTTATCACTAACATGATCTGTTTGGAGTGTGCATGATACTTATCCCCCCCNCCCCTCAAGAGGATGGGAAGACAAAAAAGTAGTTTCTTGATGACAATCAGGCTAGAACAAATGAACTACACATAGCACGATGAACTTACTGCTGATCGAACATGAACCACAAGAAAAACATATTCCCCCTGACCACGAGGCTTTAAATAAAACGAAGCATAGTCATTATTGCAACGATTGGAAATCAGGAGTAAACAACTCACATACAGCACAATTCTCTAAGAGATATTTTATGAAGTAACCTTTCATTACTCGAGGACTTCCACTATTTTCAGTCCAGCAGAAATCATGGACATAGCCAGAGAAAACCAGGAAACAGTAATGAGGTAACAAGCTAAGTATAAGCATCTGCAGTACATTCACAGTTACAACTAAAAAAGATAAATACGATTTTGTCTGAGGCAACTACAAAGCAGTGCTTGTGTTGCAAGTCCTTTTCTCCACTGAGGAAGCCTTCAGCCATTCATATGCACCTTATTCTCATTATTATTTCTGTCCCAACCTTTTAAAACACTACAAGTTATACCTCAGAATCTAAAAGCAAGTAGTGACTGTCACAATATACATATAATACAAATATCACATACAAAGTCACATAAATGGCAGCCCAATGTAGACCACCTTTTGATACACTTGCATATTAGTTTACATTTTTCTATATCCTATTTGAATGTAATATTAAGCACAACTACTGTACATTGCAGAGATGTTACCAGAAACCATCATCAACGGCCACAGTGGATGGAGGATAAGGATCATCCTCTTCCTCCATTTCCAACTCTGGTTCGGCAGATCCAAATTCAGACAATTCAACAGCAGCAAGGTTCTTTAGGTCAATAATCGAGAGCTCGTCAAGGTGCCTAACAACCAAATCAGCAGCGCCAAGCTCGTACACCGGATGTTTGCTTGCAACAGCAACACACTTCATCTGAGCATCATGTGCAGCCTCCACAGTTTGATTTGAGTTCCCAAACACTATACACCTCTCCGGTATGTATTGTAGAAGCTGCGATGCATAGACAAACATCTCCGGATCAGGCTTCCCTCTATGAACATCCTCTGCAGCTACAATGACACTAAAAATCCCTTCAATGCCAATGGTACCAATTGCATTCTCAACATATTTTCTCGGACGTGTAGACACTAAAGCCATTGGCACCTTGTAGTGCATCAGGGTATTGACAAACTCCTGCGATCCAGGTCGGAAGCTATAAATACCCCCTTGCAAGGCTTGATAAATCTCCTCCTTCCGCGAAGCCATTCTCCTCACTTGAACAGGATCTCTTGACCAGCACAAAACTTCCGATATTGCTTGCTCATTCTTCATTCCTTCAATTCTTTTCAAGATGAAACCGGGAGGAGGTGATTTTCCTTCTTCTTGAGATAGAGCTAACCATGCCTGCTTCTCAAGATCAGGATTGTCTTCAGTTAACACACCTTCCCATTCAAATATAGCTGCTAACCATCCACAACCCATCCTTTCTTGTCTAAGCAATGGATTATGAAGAGCTGGATTATCAGCCTTATTCTTTGGTGGCCATAATCCCGGTTTTCTATCTACATCAGTGTCAATCCGATACCTGAAATCCTTAGGCATCTTCTCCTCCTCTCTATATGAATATGCCTCTTTGGTCAATTCCATTGCTTGGCCTCTTATTGAGGAAATCCTTACGCAATCAGCTCTTAATCTTTCCAAATTAGAACCACAAACAAGCTTTTTGCCAAGAAAATCAGCACAAGGCAACCGACATACATCGATTGGCTTCCGTTTACTCGACATATCTTTGCTACAATAACCTCCCAATACTGGCACACGCCCTAAAAGCGATGTTGCACCAATTGATTCAACCATCTTTACTAACTAATCTTCCACCCCACCAAATCTTTAACTTCAAAGACTCAAACTTTTCACCACAAAACCACTCAAATCAACTAAACTGAACACAATATCAATGAATCCAACAACCCCAGCTGAAATTTTTCACTTTCCCAAATCACCACACAAGTTAAGGTACAAAAGGGAACAGTAAAGCAACCCTTTTCTACAATAAAGATCGAAACTTTATTCCATAACCCTAATTTAATTATACAATATAATTCCAATTTTGTGTACAACACGCCAAACCCAAGATTCAACTCTCACGTCAACAGCTCATAAAAGCCTAATTATTCAACGTCATAAGTAGATTACTTAATGAATAAGGAAAGATAGCAATTTACCCAAATAGGTATGTACAGAAATGAAAAACAGAATTTTTTAGATAATTAAACAGCAAATAAACCCTATAGACTTATCCTATTATAAAATTTTGAAATTTGTGAGCAATATTATGCACTAAAAAACTAGAGAGTTGGTTTTTATTTTTTTTACAGAAATATTTACAAAGAGATAAAGATAGGAGGAACCTGAGGTGAATTATAGAAGAAAGCAAAATACAGAGAAGATTTTTTTTTGTTATTATGATTTACGAATAGTAGTGGTATTTGGAATGCGTGTATGTGTGGTTTATAGGAGAAGAAGAAATTGAGGGCGGTTTTTTTTGGGAGTTTTTCCGATTTGGTGAACCGGGTTGTTGCTGGCCAATATTGAACCGCGTCAACAAAAGGACACGTATCGGTTTAGTGACGTGTTGCCGACCTTTATTTGCTTTCACTTTTGCCCTTGCATTTGCGTTAATTTGACTTTGTACCCCTTATAATGTTGGATTATAAAGTTGAACCCCTGTAGGCTAGGGTTGTGCATTATTTGGGTCAACCTGAATATTCGAATCAATCCGTTATTTAAATTGATTTGGTTCGGTTTCGGATCTTGAATTTTATTATTTTAAATATCGAATTGTATATGATTTAGCTCAATTTAAATCCGAACCGATTCGAAACCCAAAATATATATTTTACCTTTAAAAGATAACGGTGCCCTTTTAAAAAATTTAAGGCTTCTTTGTTCTCTCTTTGTTTGTGCCTTTTCTTTCTTTCAATATTAAATGTGAAAAATATGAAAATCAATCAATTTTGCTATTGAAAGTGGTAGGAGATAGCATCTTATAATTATTTATTTTAGGATCTTAATAAGGCGTACAATTCCAACCAAACATTAAAATCTGATCCAATTTGAAATTAATTCGGTTCTAATTCAGATTGTAATTTATAAAATCTAAAATTATAATTCGAAAAGTGCTACATTCGATCCGATCTGATTCATAAGCAGGCCTATTGTAGGCTATAAGTATATTAAAACTTGATTTTCTCACTTGCATATTTTTCTTCCTAAGATTTTCTATCACGCTCTTTGATTTTGCTGTGAACTGATAGAGATTTATTTACAAAATTAAAGTGGGAAATAAATACATACAGTAGCTTGATATGAATATGTAGTTTGTCTTACCCTAGAATATCGTTGACTTTATTATTATTATTATTATTATTATTATTATTATACTACAAGATTTAAAGAAAAGAAAAGGGGGACACTGAAAATTAATTGCATAAATTCTCATTGATATTATTAGACTATAAACTTTGGTGATCAATTATTTATTTGCATGCATCTTGTTGATATCGATAATCCAAAGCAGTATTCTAATAGGTCGGTAAACAATTTTTAATTCGAATTTTTATAGTTTTTATATTTTAATAAATACACCACTGTTTTATCAGAAAATCAGTCATATGATTTCTACAATTAAGAATATATTTTAATAACACTTAATATGCATTTGGGGGTAGTATAAAAGAAAAAAATATAATCATTTACCCCCACCCCACAAATATCTCTCTCTCTAGTGGGAGCTAAGACAAGAGGAGTTGCTCTGATGGTAAACAACCCTCACTTCCAATCGAGAGGTTGTGAGTTCGAGTCTCCCCAAGAGCAAGGTGGTAAGTTCTTGGAGGGAAGGATGTCGGAGGTCTATTTGGAAACAGTCTCTCTACCCTAAGGTAAGGGTAAGATCTGCGTACACACTACCCTCCCCAGACCCNGTGTGTGTGTGTGTGTGTGTATGTGTGTGTGTGTATATATATATATATATATATATATATATATATACTAGAGTTAGGCATCATACCTAACCATGAAAATGGGAATCCCAAAAAGAGGAAAATAAACATTTCGTTAAAATATGATATAAACAATTTGGTGCTCTTAATTTTTATGACTTTAAAATGGTCCCTTTTCAAGCTTTAAGTTAAGCTATGTATCCATGATAAGAATGTGAGAAAATGTCCCACTCAATCCAATCATACACGCTATTCCATTTTTATTTTGCACCGAATTTAATATAGATCTAATTAAGAAATATAATAGTAGCTATTAATTTATACATCATATTGCAAATGTTCCAGAAAGTCGTGGTACAAAGTTACTGATTTTTCCAGATGAATTAGAAATTGGGGATCGTGTGTACCGGCTAGAAAAAGTAAACAATCAATCTTGCCGGCTATTTGAATAACAATCCCAAATTTGAATATTATATTGAGTGTTGGGACACGTTTTAAAAGGCGTTTTCTGGGCAAGCCCTAGAGTGAGGCGCATCAAAAATGCCCCAAGGCAATAATGTGGGGTGAAAGTCACAAGAGGCGTATGCCCAGCAATTCAGGGCGTACACCCGGGCGTTTGAGGCGCGTTTTTTGTAGTGAGGCGTAAGCCTCGGAGACTTTTTTAAATTAAAACACATTTTCTTGAATAAGTCCTTCATATAATACTCAAATTCTCAAAAGTCAGTTTGTAATTACTCAAAAATTTTAAAACGAAACTGAAATATATTAAATTTAAAAGTCAAGACTTTTTTTAATTGATTGAAGCCCTAATTTATGGTCTTTCCTAATTCTTTTTCTTGTCCGCTAGTTTGCTGCTATCTCCCAAATGAAACGAATAATAATTTTTTTTTATAAAAAAAATACAAAGAGAACTCCATTTTCCTTTATAGCAACAAGTTCAAAATTCAAATTGCAGGTTACTCGTCCTTTTTATTCCTCTATGTAGAAAATTTTATTCTTTTCGACTCAAGTTACTTGTGCTTGTAAGTAACGTATAATAGATTGTTTTGATTAATGTTTTTTGGGGATGGAGCACATCTATATATATATTTCACATATATATAATTTTCATCAATTTTTATGCAATTTTACCTATTTATAAATATTTACTATAATTATATTATTTATAAAATATTAAAAATTAAATATTCATAGAACTTACGTCCTATGTCTTGAGGCTTATGTCTCGCTAAAGCATATGCAAAACGCCTCGCCTTACGTCCACGCCTTTTAAAATAATGGTGCTTGGCACTGAGGATGATACTCAAGATATAAACACGCTATTAGCGTTCGGTTCGAGTTACATCAATGACCAAAGAGGGTTCTGATAATTGTTTGATTGTGCCATAATTGCTAGCGCTAATGTTTTAGCTCGACAATGTTTTTTTATGTAATCATATGATATTCGAAATTTATTATCTCACTTGATTTAAATTCATGATATGTAAGACTCATTAGAAGGGTAAACATTTCATATTATGAGTTTCTTTATTTTAAAAATTAATTTCGAGAACTCTGATCAAGGGCGTAGTGATATCCATCACAGAATTAGAGGATTTACAGAGGATTCATGAATGAGGAATCTCCCCATCAAACTCTTCATTTTCAGTGAAAACATGGATTTTCAAACGAGAAAAATGAGTGAAATTGGAAAAATCTCATCCTAACTATGAGGAAAAAAAACAACAACTTGGGGACTTGGTGTGACAGATTTGACTAGCACTAGGTCAAAAAAAAAAAATACTAAAAAATAAAATTTTAAAAAATCCAAAAATTAGATAAGTCTACCAGTAGAATTGCATAGATCATTCCACGCTAATAATAAATTTTGCATGTCTATTTCAATTTCCCCACAAAAATCAAGATTTTTCTATTTGTTTACTTGTTGCAAATAAATCCAATTGGACAACATATTCTTAAGAACCACCTGTTGCCACGTTAACACATGCAACGTGTCAAATTTGTACTCCTTATCATATGTTAAATATATATTTATTGAAGGGTAAAATAACTTATGCATTCATTTTTATCAAAATATTTTGACACCTTTTAAAAAAAACTAGACGTTAAATCGGTCAACCAATCGAGAGCGAGTTATTTGACTAATGTATCAGTCTTACTTTTTTATTTTTTACTTTGTTAAAAAAGAAGTTTTTGTATTATAAATTCTTAATTCTAGTATTCGTTTCACATTTAAGGGTGTGGAAATAACATCAAACTAAATCAACGAGATATAAATGCTATTTTGGGCAGTATTATAATATATTTTTAGTTTAAAATCACAATACTCGGAATTATTCTTTATATTCTAAAACTTTTTGTCAGGAAATGACGTATTATTTAATCCTTTTCTTCACATTAATAATTTATATCTTGACCAAGTCTGGAATCGTTTATTGACAATGATGTACAATGAATCTTGCTAATATTGTGGCCAGCTGAATGAGAACAAACATGTGTCTGCTAAAGGCTAAATTTATGTAATGAAATTGGAAAGAAAAAAAAAAGGTAAAGAGGAAGCATTAAAATAAGAAAGATCTTTGCACAACTAGTCATTCGAATTTATTATTTATTTTTCATAATCGATATACATAAATTATACATTAGTTTTATGTGATTATATAATACTCTACATAAATTATACGTATATCATATATCTGTTGATTATTTTTAATTAAAACGGTTAGGTGGGCAGCTACATAGGTTAATTCTTCAATTAAAAAAAATAATCCAAATAGTTGCCCACCTCATCTCCTAAATTAAAAAAAGCCGGTAAATAGATAATATGCGTAAAATTTATGTATAATATATGTATAATTATGTATACTTAATTTATTATCTATATATACGGGGTAAAAAAAATAAACATTATTTACTATTTACTTCTTCAAAACATAAAAATAAACATTATTTACTATTTACTTCTTCAAAACATATATATATA